GGCCACCCCTATATAGAATCAGAACCAGTGGCCTTGGTGTTATCAGCACCTCACTCTCCCGAGAGAGCCATAGGCTGGCCCCTCCATCTACCCTTTTTAACTAAATGTCAGTGAAGATGACCCTGACAACCGCAACTGAGAAGATAGTAATTGCTGAGGTCATTTTAATCACTCCTTCCCCCGTGCCCCCATTTAAAAATTTAAAAGTAATGCAGGCTTATTAAAGAAAAACAGGAACTGAAAAAGAACTAAAACTACACATACTTCTGTCATGGAACCATAACCACACCCATTTCCTGGAACACTTCCTTCTAGCCCTTCTCATCTCTTGCTGCAGTTCACCAAACTCCCTGCCCTCCAAGGAGGAGGCCGTGTGCACTGGGCTCACTCCGGGAGAGCCCAGAGCTGCTGGCTTGTATGCACAAGTGTTTCTGGGAAGCACTTTTGACTGGTTTCCTCCCTTGGCAACGACTTCCCCAAAAACTTTTCCTAAATGGAACTTTGCATGAGGTCCCTTCCTGACTGGGGCAGTAGGTAATAGAAGCACACGTGTGGCAACAAAGTGCCACTTTGGCAAGCACATCAGAAATGTGTTGAAGACAGGGCTGTATGTGTCGTCGTCCTCCCCGTGAGCCCCACCTCACCCTCTGCATGGGCAGTTACCTCGGTGCAGACCCGCAGGGCACTGACCTGCTCGGCCACTTCTCTGCTCATGGCAAGTGCCAGCTGCAGCTGAAGCTCCTCTTCTCCGCTAGTCTGGGGCCGGGCTTGCTCCAGCTCAGAGGACACACGCGGAGAGGTAGCTGTTGGGGGAAGCCAAAGTCACCACATATAAAAGGCAGGGTGGTCCCAACTCACGCCCAGCACACCCCATTCCCATCTCAAACCTACAAGGTCCCGCAACTGTCAACTATGCAAGCAGAGGATGTGAAAGGCTTACAAATATTTCAAGGCTAAAATAAGTGACAGTCAAATGTGGCTTCACAAGTACATAAGCCAAATGGCAGCAACCAAGAGAAGGTGCCTTTGGGTGTACAAGCCCAGGCGGTCAGACCTCACAAGGATCAGAACCTGTTTTCACTGCAGATCTGCACTACCCCGAAGCAAGGAGCTAACTCAGAGACCCAGAGTATGGTTCTTTTTTTTCTTTTTTCTTCTTTGTCTTAGTTTTTCCAGAGTATAGTGTTTGAAACGCTGGACCAAAGAACATCTTTCAAATAGATGCAGGACATCTGGGGACCAAGGATGTTTAAGAGTCACACTTTTCATCTTGTAGTGTTAAAAATCCTGGAAGATGACGCCCACCCATTTCTGCAATGACCCTGAACAGTTTCGTCTTGTAAATAACACTGTCCATTGACTAGGAAAAAAACACACATGTAGATATTCTTGCTGTGAGTACTTTGCTAGTTTAAACACTTGCAAGCAGCTCCTGGAAAGACAGTTTTTATTGAAGGGATGAGAGGTGAGTTCCTAGATGAGGTTACAAACCCCAAATGAAGGAAACTTTGCGATCACACTGTAAACCTGGCTGGGCCTCCCCAGGGGAACAGGCTAGGACTTACAGGGCCATTAGGATGTTTTCTGGATCAGAGAGTCTAGACGCCTCCAGAAATTAGATGTAAAGTTTTGAAAGCATGTGCCTAAGTGTGTGCCCACCTCTGCCCTGATCCCAGGAAAGGGCCCATAGCTTCTCCAAAATTCTCCAAGTGAGCCTCTGGAAGAGGTCAGAAGCGACTGCCTTACAGACTCCCTGGCTCTGTGCTCTTCCCTCAGCTCACCCATTGCCTCCTCACTCTTCAAAGTCCAGCTTCCCTGAGCTGGTTGTCCAGGACGGCCCTCCACACTGAGGCCACCGGGGGTCAGACTCGGTGCCCCTCCCTCACGGCACTCCTCCCTGGCTGGCAAATACCTGCTGAGCGGATGGACACATGCACAGACAGATGGAGGGGTGGATGGACAGATGGACAGAGGGGAATTCAATTTCATGGCTAATGGGCAGTTGTTTTAAAATATTCTAACTGTGTATTAGTTTACTTCCTTCTTTCATTACATACATTCTTGCAGACCTATCAGGATTCACTCACCTAAATGTTGCTTCTACCTAAATCTCCAATCTAAACTTGCTTCTTAGGATTTGCCTCTTTGGGAGAAAGTAAAAGGTCAGGAATGCTTCCTGACAATAGAGGTTTCTGGCTGGCTGGGCCCTGGCTACAGTGAATGACACAGGAAAAGAGGCCTAAATGCAGCTCGGGCCACAGAGGTAGTGCACAGAACCAGGTGAGGTGGACAGAAGCTGCTTCTGAGTACAGGGCTGGGGTATCGCAGGGCAGGAGACAGATGTGCTACCCTGATGTTGCCAAACAGAGGCATTACTTTATAGTGAAATTTTAAAAAACACACAAAACATATAGCAATAAGATTTAATTTGGAACAATTCTGTGGCGTGAAGCGCAGTGTGTCTGCCGTGATTTACTGTCATCCAAAAGAACTACCAGGCCTCAGCTGGTTAGAGCACAGACTTCTTTTTTTTAAATGACCGGTAAGGGGATCCCAACCCTTGGCTTGTCGTTGTCAGCACCACGTTCAGCCAGTGAGTGAACCAACCATCCCTATATAGGATCCGAACCCGTGGCCTTGGCGTTATCAGCACCGCACTCTCCCGAGTGAGCCAGGCCAGCCCTGAGCACAGCCTTCTAATATCAAGGGTTTGGATCCCCATACCAGTCAGCTGCCAAAAAAAAAAAAAAAAAAAAAGAATATCCAGTGCAAAAGAACCACCAAACAAAAGAAAAGCCACTAACCAACTGCCTTGTGTCTCCTCTAATTTGCATAACAGGCCAAAGAACAAAAAAAGCTGCAGTTATAAAAAGCACAAATGTATTTTTCTAAATAACACAAAGTCAAATCCCATCTTAGTGCATGACTCCAATTATATTTCTCCAAATAAAGCTAATGAATAAATCAAATCCATCTTAATAATTTGATTTCTTAATAGTACACCAAAACACAAAGTACATCTTTTTGTTGGTCTTGTTCCCAAACTTCACCTATGCCAATCAGAATGCTCAAGTTTGGGCTTTCTTGTGCTCAAGAAACAAAGATGTCACCATCCAGACTGTCAGGAGCAAAGGAAGCTAGACAGTTCTGGGGGCCTCTCCTCAACTGAACGCAGCTCTCCCCTCCAAATCATTAGCCACTCCAGCCACCTGTTCCCAGCCTCTTTCCTAATAAAGAATCTCTGAACATAGCACATCTGACACCCTCCATTTACCACCAAGTGGAAATCATGAGTGAATAAAGTAGAAGGCCCCACTCCCCACCCCATGAGCCCACCCTGGCGGGGAAAGTTGCTGCCTGGTGGCACTGGCACAGCACCTGATCCAGCCAGGCCAGGTGAATGGCACTGGGCTCTGACCAGGACCTGCTGGAGAAATGACACCTCCCTTGTTCTCTAGGCTTTTCAGCACATCTGCAAGGCCAACCTGGCTTCAAACGCAGATGTACATGCTTATATCTACATCACTGATGCCGCTAGATTAATGCATGGCTGGCACATACGGAAGTAGCTCACCACATCAATGTGGAAATTAGAGACCAAGGGTATTCCCCTGAACGCTGGGGTTTTTATGAACGGATGTACGTAACTCAGTTCCGCAGAGGGCAGAATTCACAGCCACCACCCCTGAATATCAGCTGAGCTGCACACTGCGGTCTCGGCTTCAAGGAAGGATTCCAGCAGAGATGTTCTGGCCTCAGTGACAGCATCTTGGCTCCACAAAGGCCTTTTGTGCCCCTGCACGTGACAGTGAACACAAATGGTGTTGTAAGAGGGCCTGAATGGGCCCTCTGACCACCTGAGCCTGGCCCTGCGCTGAGGATCTGAAGGTCCACACTCACAGGGACCCAAGGAGAAGGCAAGTGCCCAAGGGAGGGGCTGCTCTCTCAGTGAGCTGGCTGCTCCCCCACCGCAGCCTCTGGAGGGAAGAAGAGGAATTGTTAGTGGAAGCTAATCACCAAAGCAGTATTGAACACACCATCAGCCTTCTCCTACTACTAGGACAGCCTTTAGCATCGCAGACCCCCACCTGGAGAGGTCCGAGTCTTCACTCGCTGTGGCCAGGAATTATAACCATGGGCAGGCCTCATTTTTATCCTTTCCTTCTGCACACCTGCTCCGAGAAAGCCTAAGGGGAGAGGTTGAGCAGGAAGGCTAAAAAGCCCAACATCTCCCTCCAAGTACAGTCAGTAAGGAAGAGCAAGAAAGCCCTCCCAGCTAAGGCAGACAAGGTCTCCCCCATCCAACTCCACTCCTGCCTGCTCCAGGGACTGCCCAGGCAGAGCCACCCTTTCCCAAATGTGCTCCTAAACAAAGGCCGAAAGATCAAGATGCTTCAGCTGGCCAATTTCAGGTAATTTTGAAAAAAGAAAGCAAGGCAGTCAAGCTGACAGAAAAACAGGAAATTGATTATCAGCTACATTTTGCAATTTTCCTAGAAAGTACCAAAAGCCACATCTGCCAATCACGAAACACTGATTAAAATGACCAGATACCATGCGTGGGACATGACTTTACTGTTAAATGGCTCTGTGTGGTGACCAGCATGACGAGACCCTGTAGGAGGGCCTGGCCTGGTGATGCTGGGCCCATGGGCATGCCTGACAGTGCAGGGAGAAAGCAAGGCTGCCAGGCCTCGGGCCCAGAAGAGCCCACGTGTGTGCAGGCACTGCTGTCACCACTCATCCCCGGCATGCGCCCATGCATAGCAGCCGAGGGGGAGATCAAGTAGTGAAAGAGCACTGAATGGACAAGTCCTGTCTCCGCCACTGGCCAGCAGTGGGACCACAGCTGAATGGCCCAACCTCTCTGAGCTTCTGCTCCCACATCTGCAAGATGGAGACAGTGGGGCTTGTGGGGTCAGAAGTGACCAAGATGCAGCTAGCTCTCCCCAGTAGCTTTGATCCTTTCCCCAGGCCGGTGCCCTCTCCTCCATGCTGTGACCACCATTCCTCCAGGGGGCCAGAGCTGTCAGGCACCCCCACCCCCCACTTCACATAGAGAAACCTGGCCCTTTCCAGCCAGGGCTGGTCTCTGCCTCTTTCTGCCGGCCGGCATCCTTCGAGGGAGGTGCCAGGAAGCCAACACTGAGCCCAGAGCCAGCTCAGGGCCAGCTTCCTCTGCCCAGTGACCCGTTCTCCAGACCAGCTAAGTTCCTTCCTCATTACTGAACGCAGCAAAGTGCTCCCTGGGTCTTCCTCTATGTGGTAACACCTTCCTGTGGCTCCCAGGCCACTTCCTGAATCAGCAATGACCACAGCCACGGATGATACTCCCACCCAGCAGCTCTGGCCTGAGCTGAGGCTTCTGAACACAGCAGACCCTCCAGGGCACTCACAGGAAGCAGTAAGAGAGGCTGCTTTTAGTTGAACTAAGCAAATTATGAGAAAATAACCTCAGACTATCCCAGATAACATGAGAAAAGAAAAGGAATATAAATACATGGTGTAAAGCACGACCACAGCCAGATCAGTGTCTGGCTACAGGGTAGATGTGACTTTACAACAGAGGGACAAACTGTAGCCACTTTGTGCCATGGCCAACCCCAGGAGCAGGAGTGGTGGGACGGCTGCCTATCAGGTGGCGTCACACCACCACCCACCACTGTCCCAGCAAAACGCTGACTTGAGTGGAAGCCAGACTCCAGATGTGATTCCCAGCTCACAGGAAGTTCAGGGCGAGGATGGGTTGAGCAAGACAAGAGACAGCGGATGAACGGCCTGAGGCTGGGGATGCTCTGCAGGA